GTCGTTTGTCCCATTTGAATCGGACCAGTAATATCCGAGAAACATGCTAAGGCCCTTCTGGCTTTTTGTTCTGCTCATGATTTTTCTATTCGACGTTAATCTATACTACGTAATGCCGGTTTTCCCGTTTGAATTGGATCAGTAATGTCCAAGAAACATGCTAAGGCCCTGGCTTTTCGTTCTGCGCATGATTTTTCTGTTCGACGTTAAAAGAGATTTAATTCCCCTCCCACTCCTCCGCTTCCCCGCTGGTGGCTCGAGAGGTTAGTTACTGATAAGATCCTTGACGTGTGACGTCACCGTAAAAATTGCCAGAATGAACCTTGGTGATTTCCCATGTTAATCTACATAAGGAATGAGGCCGAATGAACATAGTACATTTACTAACATTTATAAAAGCATCCACAAAATAGACCAAGGGACAATCATTTTGTGAAGTGGAACAATACTGAATTTGTACAAAGATTTGTGAATTAAATTCACTTTTAATTTTTATCCAGCATAATTTCTTCTTGCGCGTTACATTCACCTGTTTTTTTATTTTCTAAAATGTCTTTATATTTGTTAGGTAGTCACTAGTAAACATTCTTCAGCATGCGTGAAATTTGGCGTTCTTTTTAATTGCACATTCATATTTTCCATATTATCAGTTTGGAAACACGAGGGAAAACTACGTATAACCTCTAAAAATAAAAAGTTTAGAGTAAAAATGCCAAAAATGGCATTTTATATAGCTTCTTTATTTTCTAATAAAAGAAACAAAGATACCCTACGTATTTAGTAAAATTGAAATCTGGCAACCCTGAACAATCAAGTTTATCTAAACCGACGTTGAGCGGGGTATGTAAAATTCATACCAATTTTTAAGGTTAGTTCAACCATTTACCGAGTTCACATGAACCTAGGTTTCAGCTTGCTTTGTACAATCGGGCTTCAGTGATTTGCAGAAAGCTGTAATTGAGCATAATAAAGTTTTAATGGGAGCTGGCTCAGGGTGTTCTAATGTTACTGAATACAAAATTGTTTATCATTCTCCGCCCTTTAAGCATATGTTACCCAGTTTCTTCAGTGATGCAGGAACATATTGATAAAAAATTGAATGAGATGCTTCCTTATATTACCAATACCTTAAACAAACTAATTATTCACCCTGGATATGAAATCTGTATACTGACAGGTGAAGGTCGCTGAGTCTTCAATGCCTTTTACAGCTTTTACTGTTCCTGGACGTGGGTTATTTCAGTTTAATCGAATACCCTTTGATCTCCATAATGCCCCTGCGACGTGGCAACGCCTTATCGGCCAAGTTTATGGACCTGAGGTGAAACCTAACGTTTTCACCTATCTAGACGATATTGTAATCGTCACTTAGACATTCGAGGAACATTTAGTTATTTTAGAGGAAGTTTTAAGAAAGCCAATTTAAAGTATTTAGGTTATGTTGTAGATGGGACTGGACTTCGTGGATTCTGACAAGGTCAAGGCAATGTTGACGTTATCTACGCCGAAGTGGGTGAAAATCTTGTAAAAAGGTAAATCTCGTTTATACCTGAATATAAGTCTCAAATCAGACAAGCGTAAAAATAATGGATATAAGGTATATAACTTTTGTCCAAAAATTAAAATCATCCAACTAACTCGATACACTATTTAGTTTTTACAACAAATGTAAAATGCATTTAAATATGCTTAATTTTATCAACATGAAAATTAACCTAACACTTGAATTCATTATATGCCCTAGTTATTTACTGAAAATATCTTATTTTATAAAGCCCCACGTTGGGCGCCAAGCTACTTCAAAAAATCGACAATATAAAGGTGAAGAATATTAATAAATATAACCTACCGAATACACTGTGCAACTTCCGGTGAGAGAAACTGCCCAAAATTGAACTTTAAAGATAGCTCTACCAATAAAATTTTGTCTACTGCGGTTACATAAGTTTCGGTTGTTCCGGTCTCAACCTTTGGACCTTCGACGTTGCTCAGACGGTGGCTAGGGGGTAGATAGCTTATAAAAGTTCCGGAAATAGTTGACAAATTGAAAAGTGCCAAGTGACTAGGATCTTATTTCCCCATAAACCCAATAAATGAGGAAATAAATAACTAGCCAATCATTATACAACTTAGGTACTACAAATAAATTCCTTTACTCTTGTCTATTGATAAGATGAAATAAATACTCAGCAAACTATATACGCTAGTTTACAACAAATAATAGCAATCTAGAACAGTTTACCTTTTTACGTTCACTAGACAGAAGTCAAATTTAAAATCTGGTATTTCGTACTACTAAATATGCACGTTACAAGTAGCTATTTTGTGGGTTTCTAGTACCCCGATGTTAAATGCCCGGGTAAAACCATTCTATCCTCCCGCCCACAGCGCAATAAAACTTATTTTGCTTTATAGTCGCGTCAAAGTAGTACTAAAAACGCAGAAACTTCGAACTTTGGTCGGAAAGGTCCGATTGGGCTATTTTTTCTGCAAAATGTTCATTGAGTCATGAGATTCAAAGTTCACCAAAATCTGGATGCTGCTCGGCCTCCCTCCCGCCCCAAATTCACCCCAATTGGGGGGAATTCTCGGCTTTTTTCAACAAGCCACATACTTTCTAAAACTGCAGTCCCAAGCGGGGCAAATGTTCCACTCGGGGGGTTTGAAGTGCCCTGAATCCATTATTTGGGTTAGGTCGCCTTCGCGACCTTCCCAGGGGTGTGTTATGTTGTCCTGGCTTGCAAGCAGGCGGCTTCAGAGCTCCACGAATGAGGGTGCTGAGGGGGTGAAACTATCCCCTGGGACTCGATTTGATTCGATTTCATTACATAAAATTCATATAATTGCGCTGACCAGGCAGCTAACCAATGGTTTATTCGAGTGGCATTTAATCTCAGCCAATACAACGACATGCCCAGATCAACAAGGACATTATCTCGATGTTTAGGGTTGCGGCACTTGGCCATCACATTACACGAAATCTTGAAGGTTCTTAATTGCAATTCTTTATCAGAGTTATACACTCTTGAACCTCCCGGAAGAGGGTTTGCTAGGGATCTAAGTCTACAATTCATCTGATATTTTGTGATTTATGTGATACCTCATTTAAAAGATATTTTCTATATGTTTACAACAGATTTAGGTTTTTATATTTTTACAGAAATTACATTAAATAAATTTATAAAGTAGGTTAAATTCTTTTTTATATTAACCGCTTTAACCTCAAAGGATTATTACCGGAGGTATATTACCTTATAAATGCTGTTTTTTACAATAATATACAATGGATAATTAACATTTTGGCTAGTACAGAGTAAAGTCAGTATCTTTTATAATTTTAAGCAAAGTTTACTGTTAGAGGGAACACTGCACAAATGACAATATTTTGTAGCTGGTACTTTGTTCTTATACAGACATGTTCTGGGCCTTTACTAATAAGTTACATTCTTGATAACTCTCGTATTAACAATTATTGTTTATTATTAAGGAAACGCTTCTTGTATTTACTAAAATAAATAAATTAAGAATATCAAAGGTGATTTAAAAACCACTTGACGTATTACGTTTTTCATAACTTCTTAGCAAAAAAATCGTATTAAAAAATTATCTTCTAACATTATCTAACATTTCTTGGATTATTGCGGCACACGAGGATTATCAAGAATGTAATTTTTGTAAAAACAAAACAAAATAACAAAATTAAAACTGTTTGCTTGGAAGTAAATATAATCAAAATATTAAAGTTGAAGGTTAAAGTTGAAGGTGGTAGCCATGTGTGAGTTATAAGTTCAAAAAAGGTAAATCAAACGAGGGTGGTCCTTAGGATCTCACAAGAGTATTTTATTACGACCGGTTTCGAGGATCAGATCCTCATAATCAGGTAAGGTCTAAAATAGAGAGGAAAAACGAATGAGCTCATAACTAATAAAGTGGGTTTAAACATTTTAATATGAAAGTTGTCAAATATCAAGAGCTCACCCGTAATTACTCATCTATTTAAGACTAAGCTAAGAGAATTATCCCAGGGTCGGTGTAAAAACAAGTATGCGAGTATTTTTTAAAATACATAAAAAACAATAGTTGCAACAAAAGTTGATGTCCATTAGAAAATTTAAAGATAGTAACGCCCTCTATTTTACGTCTCAAGTAAAGTGCATTTCATTACAACAAAAATATCATGTTTCTCTAATTTCACATCTTTTTTGTTTTATGTCTCTATCTTCTTGCATTTTGAAAACATACTACAAAATGCTTTCTTTTGACATCGCCGGATTGCATTAGAAAAAATCTAACTTCCAATTTAACCTCTTCCCCCCCTCCCCGACTGACTTACAAAACAAAGTATTTTCGTTTTTAGTTAACGCCTAATCTGGGCCACTTATTACTTCAAATTTCAATTGTAAAACGACTGTGACAGACGGACAGACAGAGAGACATAAGTATTTCCTATTGCCAAATTTGGGTACTAATTAAGGATGTGCACGATGTATCGATGTTTAAAAAACATCGATTTTTAGGTTTAGATTATCGATGTTCAACATCGATGTTTTTTAATCCGATGTTATTTGCTAACATCGATTTTTACATTAACATCGATGATTTTCTTTTCAATGTTTCTTGGTTTTTTTGTTAAGCGTCACGTTTAATTTGATGGTTTAAATTTCTTTTTCCTGTTTTTTTGCTCTTCAATGAACGCTTCTGGAAAACATCGATGTTTATAGACATATCGATGTTTGAAAAAATTTGCGCATCCCTAGTACTAATGCGTAAATTACTTGAAACATTATTTGTTTTTGTCTTACAAATTTTATCGTTTTTCCATGTTTCGTCTTTTTCAAATTTAAATTTGATATTGTTTTATCACGAGAGAAACGAGACGAGACAAGACGAGAGGAAGGCTCTCTCGATCGAGAGAAGTGCCTTCTCGTCGAGACGAGAGAACAGTTTTCTCTCGCCCTACGCGGCATCACTACTGATTCTTCTATCTTTCGTCCTTTTAGATATGGCCAAAAATTCAAAATACTCTTCAACAACAAGAAGCTATAGGTTCACACCTAACGCTACGCTGCGTCATACACAGGCACAAGGTTACCAGAGTAACAACTGCTAGCGATTTTGCGAATCTCCCTCTAGGTGGCTGCGATTTGGTATGCGAAACACCCTTAAATTGCGGCCATGTATGTCTTAGATCATGTCACATCGAAGATAGGGAGCATGCTGAGTACAAGTGCAGAAAGACTTGTGGAAAGTGAGTAAAATAGAAAATTTTATTTAACTATGTAATTTATTTGATATTTTCAGAATACTTTGCGACGATCAAAGTCACGTTTGTGATAAATTGTGCTATGAAACATGCGACCCTTGTTCCTACCCAGTAGAAAGACACTTAAAGTGTGGTCATGTGGTCAAGATCGCCTGTCATTTGGATCCGACAACCTACAATTGCAGAATAGCTGTCGAAGCTACATTGCCGTGCGGTCACGTGCAGTACATCGCGTGTCATATGGATCCGATAACGTACAATTGCCTCATACCTGTCGAAGCGACGTTGCCGTGCGATCACATAACTATGAAACCTTGTTACATGGACAAGAAGACCGTTGAATGTCCTTTTCCCTGCGACAATAGAGTGGAACCCTGTGGACATTCCTGCGAGAAGAAATGTCACGTAATGATCGACCCCGATCATTTGGATGTAAGTAAAAAATAATGTATTTTTCTTGTAGCTGTTATTGGCTTTTTTTTCTTCGGGGCTTTAGCCAAACTTAGGTTATCGTCAAGATGCTTTAGGGTAAGGCCATTAAGAGTGATAATTAGATAATACGGCACTTCAAAATAAACTAGATATGCACAAAGAAATACAACAATAACGTTAAAAAACTAGTTTGTATGGACTCCACCTCCACTTCTCACGCTCCCGATGTTTACTCTCTTCTCTCTCTCTCTCTCTCTCTCTCTTTCTCAACTGACATTTCAGTCATACCAACTTCTTAAAAAAACAATATAGGTAACTTAATAAATAAAAATTTACAACACTGTATTGATTGAATTTGGTCTTACCATCTAGAAAACAGGACCCGACGTTCAGGTAGTTAGTTATCGATATTGATTTTGTTTATATACATCTCCGGATAAAAAATTTTAATTTTCAACTTTAGAGAAAATGCTCTTCTTCACAAAAGTTTTTTGCTTGTTTCTAAACAAATAATTCAAACAAAAGTTGAGTATCTACATTTTAGAGAAATAATGACCAAGGAAACATTTTGATTCATTTTCTTTTTACAATTTTACCATTATTTCACTAAAGCAAAGAGATATTTAACTTTTGTTTTGTGATGGTACTAGTCCTTTGCATATTTTATGTCACCATGTATTATTAATAGCAAATAAAAATCAACTAGATTATACGAAAGTTATTTATTGAATCCTTTATTCTTCGATCACTTATTTCAACGAACCTACACAATTGTTACGTCGTCGAAATAAATGTCGAATCAACACATTACAAAATATAATATTAAATAATAAAATACATTCCTTAACCTAATTATATCCAAGTTCAAAGAACTATAACAACTACAAAAATTATATACAGTATGATAATATATATGTACTTATATTATTACAGTTTTGAGTATTAGTTTTGAAACAAACAAAATGTTTTATGAAGAAAAACCTTTTTAAACCATTTTTTTTTTAGTATTCCTGTCGAAAGCCATGCGATAAGATTTACAAAGGTTGTACCGCAGACGAACCTCACATTTGCCAAGAATACTGTTCCAAAGATTGCGGAAACTGTCCAGTATTAGTGTGCAAGACACGCTCATGCGGTCACATATTCGAAATGGAATGCAGTATAAATCCCGAAGATATAGTTTGTGAAGAACCTTGTAAGAAACTTTTAAATTGCGGTCACAAATGCGAAGAAACTTGTAGCGACCCTTGCGGGTTATGTAAAGAAAAGGTAATTTTTAAATCGATGTATTTACTACTTTTTATATGACTTTTTTGATGACGGAACCTTTTTGAAAAGCGAAATATTTGACGAAGCCTTAACACATTTCTAAAAAAAAATCCTCCGAGTAAAATCCTCCTTGCTCTAGCCTCTGGCCAGGTCCCTCCCGTTTCTTTGCGGAGCCCCTATAACAAAATCCTCAACATCATATCATCCTTCCTCTGGCCTCCAACGAAATTACCAAAATCATATACTCCTTCCTTTCTTAAAAAAAGTTCCTCCAACCAAAATCATATACTCCTTTCTCTTCCTGACTTCTAAAAAAAAAAAAAATATTCTCAAGTAAGCCAAGTCCCGTTTTTTTTGTTATGACTATTAGCCCCCAAAAAGACTTTGCGGGGACCCAGGTCTCCGCGGACTACACTTTGGGTGACGCTGCCATAGACAAACAAGTAAACATATTTTTCAATTTTTGGAAATTATGAAAGTGAAAAACTCCCAATTCTTCCTACGACATTGTTGAAAATTACACCCTCATATCTCCAAAGTGAAAACAAACCAAAGAAAAATTAAAAAAGCTAAGAGAGAACGTTTGTGTAGTTTGCCAGTTTGAAGTTGTTGGGACCAAGTACTTTCGATGTGGTCTTCCAGGTTTTGAGAAATACAGGGTGTTATTGAAATACACGTACATATTAAAATGAGGAATAGTATGTAATGACCAAAAACGATTGGCACCAATTTTAACTTCAAATTCTAAAATTTAAATATTGGGGAAGAGTCCCCTTTTCCGACCTACTAGTTTCCATATTTAAAGAAGTAAAATAAATCGAAATTGAACTTACCCATAGAAATTGCACTGTTGCCGTAGCAAAACCAATTAATTCAAAATAAAGTTTATTACAGTAATTGTTCAAAATGCCGTCCATTATTATTTACACACACTTGCAATCGTCTTTCCAAAGAACTTTGAACATTAGAAATTAGTCTTGGATTTTGTCGTAGTTCCTCGGCTACCGCATTAACTTTATTGGTTAATTGTTCAACACTATTAATAGGTTCATTATAAACCAGTTGTTTCATGTGACCCCACAAAAAGAAATCGCATGGATTTAAGTCCGGAGATCTCGGAGGCCACTTAGTAGGTCCATTTCTGCCTATCCACTTTTGAGGAAATCTAATGTTCAAAAACTGCCGTACGTTTAAATCAAAGTGAGGAGGAGCGCCATCTAGTAGGTACCACATCCGTTGCCTTAATTGTAACGGTATCTCTTCTAGGAGTACTGGCAAAATATCTTCTAAAAAGTGGAGATATCCTGGCCCATTTAATCTGTTCGGGAGAACATAAGGCCCGATTAAATACTGATCTATTATGCCAGCCCAAACATTTATTGAAAATTTTCTTTGATGTCCAGTTTCCCTAATGGCGTGAGGATTTTCATCACTCCAAATATGCGTATTGTGCATATTGAACACGCCATCACGAGTGAATGAAGCCTCGTCAGTATACAATAATATTTTTAGAGAATCAGGAATATCAACACATTTTTGAATCATCCATTCACAAAACTCCACTCTCTTTTCTTCATCACCTGGATATAAGGCCTGGACTTTTTGGATGTGATAAGGATGTAAACCCTGTTCTTTAAGTGTCCGCCACACAACAAATGAGGACACTCCAATTTCAAGACCTAGTCTTCTACAACTTAATTGAGGCCGGTTTTCAACAGCTTCCAATATTTCTGCTTCGGCCGCCAATGTTCTTTGTGTTCTTGTTCTCCCTCGATCTGCATTGACACTCTCAAATTTTCCATGGTCTCTTAGATGCTGAACAGTTGAAATAAACGTACGACAGTCCGGAATTCTCCGATTTGGAAACCGTTCGCGATACAGGATTTGTGCTTGCCGAGAATTTTCTCCAGCTGCCCCATAAACCAGCACTATATCCGTTAGTTCAATATTCGTAAATAGTGGCATCGTAAAAAAATATTTAAAAGTAATCGTAACAACACTTTTTACCAACTTGGAAATGACGCGCTCGTGTTAGCCAGATTCGTAAATCAACTAAAATTTCAATAATCTATAGTTTCAAAAATGTATAGTTTAAAAACAATCATTTATCAAATATTCTAGTTTTTTGATAACGAGGGTAGTAAAAACCAGTCTTCGGAAATAGAAATTAATTCGAAAATCTTGGCAACATGGTTATTTCTTACAAGACTAGTTTTCTTATCATCTGACAAAAACTTGCATATTAATTACTGTTGATGTTTAAAATAGGTAAATAAACCTAATTTATATAGGTCATCCTCAACATATCAGTGAAGTACGTTTGTTTTAGAATTAATTTTCAAAAATTAATAACTCCCTTAATAAGGGGTATTTTTAAAAAATAATATTTTTCTACATTCAGTGGGGATCTGCGCAATACCCAGTTTTAATATGTACGTGTATTTCAATAACACCCTGTATATGTTTGCTGAAGGTGTGGATAAAGCATTGAGCATAATGAAGAGGTGCTCACCAACTACCACAAACTTCTCATGCTCCTGTTATACAAAGGCCGTGGCTACAATCAGGTGGTCTATGACCGCATTAGATTGCTTTACTGAGAAGCCTTTACCTTCAAGCCTCTCATTAATCAAGCTAATGACACGTACTTTATTTCTGTCGATGAAAAGGAATTGCTTCTGAGTCATCGTCACCACCATTAACTTGGTAAAGATGACCTCGGGAGTAGTGTGAGTTTTTGTTTCAGCGGCTTCTCTTGGCAAATTTGATTATCCTGGTGGGCAGATCTTCTGGGTAGTCATAAAACACCACACTTATCGCAGGTAATCATAAACGTATTTGGGTAGGGTTAATTGGAATGTTTTACCATTCTTCCACACTACTTGGTGAAGAAGAAATCATATAATACTGATCTTGGAGTCTTCCTCATTCTAACTGCATCAAATAGAGAGAGCGGATAGGGTGCCAACTCATAATTGAAGAATTCTTTAACCTTCCGGGACTGGCGTGAAATTTTTGTGATCCGGCGATGGCGGCGGACTGTGAGTCCGCATAATAAATTTGAGCCAATTATAAAACAGTTTGCAATTATTTTTGTTTATTTATTTAAAAGCATCAAAAATAATTAAACAACATTAATTTTACAACAAAAAAACATAAAGGAACATGTATTTTTGGCATTATTAGAAAAACATCAGAAAAGTTTAACATTCCTGAAACTAGCTACTAAAAACATAAAATCAACGTAATATACACAAAAAAAAAATTTATTATAAAACTATTCACTGTGACATTCCAAACATATAGGTGTCAAATTCTACACACATGAACTTTCCACATATATTAATAGTGTGGTCAAAAATGGGATTGGCAACTGGCGGCGGATTCTCACTCCGCAATCTTTTATAACATAAGAACAAAAATACACTCACGCTTCAAACTTTGAGATACTACTACTAATTTAATGCTTAAAGAATATAGAAATGCACCGATTTGAGAAAGGGTGGGTTACGCGGCAAACGGAAAATAAAAAGCGGAAGCATGTTTACACATCCTACTATACGTTGGCACCAGGGTGCTGAAATCTGTTAGCCTTTGTGGCTACAATTACGCTACAAAAGCTCATTGATTTAGGCATTAATGAATGAGGCCTTTCCGAGTGCTGAAATCAGTGAGCAAGGGTGTCTGCATCCTATATAAGAATGGCTGTATTTAAACTGCCGTTAAACGGTCGTGTACTAAAATGCCGTTAATAGACATGTCATTCAAATGACGCATTTGAAGTGTTTTGGGATTAAAAAAAAAAAGAAAATATGCAAGAAAACGAAGCAACGACTTCTCGTAGGGAGGAGGCCGCCACCAAAAATTTTAACCCATACCTGGCTATGCCTACCGGCATAGACTCCAGCACCCTGGTGCCATCGTATAGGAGGATGTGTAAATATGCGCCCCGGAAGGTTAATTTGTTCATCAGATTTCTTGAGGAGTGCTATCCGGTGAAATATATGCTTTCAGGATTCACTTGTACATCCTCCCCATTATTGGTCACCTTGGATTTGAATCCTTGTATATCATATACTTTGATTTTCTTTTACTATACGGAGAATGGTCGCACTGCGCAGCTTTCTGAGTGCCTTTTAAAAGAAGATAGAAAACTCCGCCATTTTGAACCCTTATTACGTGTTGCCTACATCTTGGCGCAATATTTTTAATAGCTGCGTTTTAATCATCCGCTTCTGCTTCGGAATTGTCGGTTTTCTTGTTTTAATCTGACAGGTTAGAACGACTAAACCGACAATTCCGGAAGCAGAAGCGGACGATTAAAACGCACC